AGCTGAACCCTTGGTAGAATTGTTGAGTTGGAGGTACAGTTTGCCAAATGCTTTGGCACAGGTCCCCCCCCCCCAGCATTTCATGATAGGTCAGGGGTTGGACTAGATGACTGTTGTGGTAGGGTTGCCGTATTTCTAGAAGTAAAATTCAGGACACAATTCACCTTTTTTTGGAAAATGAAACTCGAAGTTGTTGAGGTTTTCATAGGCAAGCAACCTCAAAATCCTGGACATTTCACTGATTCCCACCCCCACCCCACATCTTGAGGTCCCTGCCAATTCTGTGATCTACCATTCGATGTTCTTGGGGCAGTAGGCTTATATGAAACAAATGAAATCTTTCTACCCTTTAAATCGGGGTTGGGGAACCTGTGGCCCTCCAGATAGACCCAGGTATGGGAGTAAAGGCTCTTCAGAATCTGAGAACTATAAAGGGGACAATGTAGCCATGCAATTAAATAAAACCCACAGAGATGTACTGTATATGTGCAAATGTTTGTCCCAGTACTTTAGTACTCGAAGCCCCACCACTAGGGAAAGTGTGCTCAGGCAGCACATTATGAGTGGTGATAACACCCATCACCCTTTTTCTTCCAAGTCACTGAATCAGTGTGTGTGTGTGTGTGTGTGTGTGTGCGCACACACACACACACACACATCATATACATATATATGAATGAGTAGGCTATGAAGAGCAATCTTAGGTAGATCGACTCTAAGATAAGCACCACAGAGTTCAGTCAGATTTATTCCCTGTGTATACGATTTCAGCTTTAGAACGGAAGAAACCAGGGACAGATGAAAACAGGAATTGGATTACCCAAATCTGGAGGGCCCCCCAAACAGAAACTGTTAAGTGGCTGCTCATACCTCACAGTGGAAAAAAAGAGGGGAAATACACCACCCCCAAAAGGACACATGTTTGCATTAGCATTATATGCTGAATAAGTCTTGCCCATGTGAGCACTGGCTGCTGAATTCTGCACCATCTGAGGTTTCTAACCCATATTCAGAGGCAGCCCCACATATAACCTGTTGCAGTAATCTAAACTAGAGGTTACCAGAGCATAGATGGTAGAAGTTAGGCTATCGCCTATCCCAGATAGGGACACAGCTGGGCCACCAGCTGAAGCTGATAAATGCACTCTGTGCCATTGAACATAACAGGCAGCTGAGAGGGGTTAAATCTAAAACAATTCCCAGTTACTTAGTTTCCATTTTTCAGGGGTTTTTTCCCTGCGAAAACAGGTAGCAGTCCTTCCTCCAGATCTCCACTGTCCATTATGGACTGGTATTGTATCTAAACATTTTTGGTCTGTAACTTAAAATCTATACATTATCTTTGTTGACCTTCCATATTGCTGTTTCTTTATCTTCAATATTTTCCCCGTTCTTCATGTGCATTTAGAAGCAGTGCTGGAACTAAGTGTACAGTCAAGTTTTCTTATAGGTGTCTTGTTTGTCATTATGTATTTTTGTTTACCTGAAATGTAATAAAAGGAGCAATGCTAGCCATGCCTACTCAGATGCAAGCTCTATAAAGTGGGAATTACTCCAAGGTAAGTGGGGTTGGGATTGCAGTCTAAATCTTTCTCTTCACATAATCAGCATCATGGTCCAAATTGTATTACATGGTACCTTGGTGCACAGAGCTTAAACTATCTAAATCATCATGCAAAAGAATAATACCTAAGAATATTTGAGAGTCAAATGGGGGGGTGGTCCTCACAACTAAGAGCATTCACCTGCTATGTTGTTATTTCAGTTTCAAATTATATACCACCCTTTATCCCAAGGATCCCAAGGCAGTGTACAACATTAAAAACACATTACAGATCATCAATGATAAAACATATTGTTTAAAAACATATTAGAACCTTCCTTCTGCTTTGTGGGAGAGATGATAGTTTATGGTTGTCCCATTGTGCCTGATCTCTTACATTTGTCCTTTCTCTACAGGGAGGAGGCTAGAATGGAATTTGAGAACATCACCTCCGTCACAGAGTTCATCTTGGTGGGGCTCTCCAACCACCGCAAGACACAGATTCTCCTCTTTGTGGTCATCCTCATATTCTACTCATTTACCTTTTTGGGGAACCTGGTTATCATCATGCTGGTGCTGGCCGACCCCCGCCTCCATACACCTATGTACTTCTTCCTGACTCAACTCTCTGGCCTGGAGATATGTTATGTCACCTGCACTGTGCCCCAGATGTTGGCTCATCTCTTGTCTGGGAATGGAGCTATCTCCTTTGCCCGTTGCGTGACCCAGATGTACCTTGGGCTGTCCCTGGGGAGCACCGAAGCTCTTCTGCTTGGTGCCATGGCTTATGACCGCTATGTGGCCATCTGCCAGCCCTTGGTCTATGCTGTTGCCATGGATAAGTGGCACCAGTTGCAGCTTTCCTCAGGCTCCTGGGCAGGCGGCTTCCTGCTCTCCCTGATGAATGTGGCCTGCACTCTTCGCTTCCCCTTCTGTGGCCCCAACCTCATTAACCACTTCTTTTGCGAGATGCCAGTAGTGTTGAAACTTGCATGTGCTGACACCCGTGTTACGGAGGCTGTCGTTTTTGGAGCAGCTGTGATTATCCTTCTAGTGCCCCTTTCTGTTATCCTGACCTCTTACGGACTCATTCTGTCTTCTGTGTTACAAATGAAGTCAGCTGCAGGTCGGAGCAAAGCTTTCTCTACATGTGCTTCCCACCTGGCAGTGGTCACCTTGTTCTATGGCACTGTTATTTCTATGTATATGAGACCCAGGTCGGGGACAACTCCAGACAGTGACAAGAAAATTGCTTTTTTCTACATTGTGGTCACCCCACTTCTCAACCCTATCATTTATACCTTGAGGAACAAGGATGTCCATGGGGCAGTGGCCAAATTGCTACAAAGAGTGTCTTGGAAGAAGAAAGGATGAATGTTGCCATCCTGCATGTTGGCTTGGATGTTATCCAAGGGCTGAGAGGGATTGATTTTTACGTCTGGCATTCACATGTCATATCAATTCTCTGTTCAGCCTTGAAATCCAATTAGTGGTCTGTTGGGCAAAGAAGGGAAAGATAGTAGTTCATGTTTTGCATACACAAGGTCGCAGGTTCAGTCCCTGGTATTTCCAGTTACAGCTGGGTTCTTGTCTGGAACCATGGATTGCTACTGCCAGTATCGTGTAGAGAGCCTTCCCCAATGGTGTTTTGGAATCCAACTCCCATCAGCCTCAGCCAGAATGGCTGATGATTAGGAATAATGGCTGTTTAAGTCCAAAACATCTGGAGAATACCAGGTTTGGGAAACCTTGTGCAGATGACAGATAGATAGATAAATGATCAGACTTGGTGGAATAAGAAAAAAGTTTTATAATATTGCATAAAAAGTTTTTTTATAGCAAATTATTTGTAATAACAAGAGACTTAGAGGGAGGGGTGCACAATGTCATTGGTCCCAACACCTTTATCTCAAAGCTGGGCTATGAAGGATCCCCATCTGAAACAATGGAAAGCCATTACCAGTTAGTGTAGACGGTACAGAGTCTGATGAACCAATGTTCTGGCTTGGTATAGGGCAGCCTCTTATTTAATGGCCATCAAGAAGAGGCCATCAAGTCAAGGAGGCCTTAAAGTGAGGAAGACACTGGCATAAAAGAAGAAAAGTTTTGCATAGTTTCTACCTCTATACATGGCATGAAACTGGGCAGAATTTCTAAATCAGGCTGTTGACAAAAGGAGGAGGTTCAAAAAGCAGACAGAAGCTTCCAGTTCCATAGCATAGTCAACATTTCCCCCATCTTGTATTGCCAACTGAAAAAGGTGGCGTGCTTTTCTTCAGCTTTGCGGAATAAAGTTGTAAGTTGGTATCCTTCCTGGTGGCTAGCCAACTATCTTGGCAAACTCCACACCATAGTACTTTTACGGGGAAAGGCAAAACAGGGTCTGCATGAAGATGTCATGCTAAACCATGTCTTGCTTTTTTAAAAAAAAAACCATCTGTAATGCATGTCCATGTGTTCAGTAGCACCTACACATCCTTAGAAGCACCCAACTTCTCACCCAGGGCTGAGAGTGACAAAAGGAACCTCCAAGTGTGGTGCCTGTTAGTACAAATGTGCCCACCAGTAGATCCAGTGGCAAACAGGGGAAGTATGAGTAAATATTCCCTGGAAAATCTACACTGCTAGAGAAATTGATTTCAGCTTATGTAGTGTGAGAACAAGGATAAGGTGCTTGGAGGAAGTTTGTCCCTCTTGATCCTTTCGTAAAATAAACCACAGGAGACTGGCTGAATGAAATCAGGCTGTGCTTCCTACTCATCATAGCGAGTGGTGCTAGGCACCTTGAAAGTGGTAATCATGCACCTAAGGCATGATGAGACAAGAGGATCTCTCTCTCTACATTAAAATATATGGGGACACTTGCTCCATTTCTCAGTGTTAGTTTTGCTTTCAGCAGGGGTCGACCGCAATGTGGAACTCCCCAACAAAAACTCAGCAGTTCAGCCAAAACCAGCAAGCTTGAAGTCAGTGCCTATCAGCAAATCAGGACTAATTTGAAGCTGGTAATATGGACAATATGGATGGATATAAAATATCGATTATGTAATAATATGTAGTTGAAAATGTTCACATTAGGACCCATGGAAGGGATGGGGACTCAGAGACTCAGAGAAATCTCTTTATATGGATATGTATTTGGTATTGTTATAAACTCATTTTTGTAAAATCTAATAAAAATCAAAAATTTTTAAAGGACTAATTGGCAGCTATAAATGATAATGTGAAACAATGATTTGAATTGGATTGGAAAAAAATGGGGTGCATTACCAAGATTTAAACATTGCATGTAGATTCAATAAAGCACAGCTAACACAATCTATCTTTATCTTTACTGTGTACATGATGAAAAGAAGAAGTGGTTCTCCCTCAAAACCTTTAACATCAACAGAATAGGGCTACAAAGTTCAGGAGGCATTTCAAGCCCAGCAATAACTAATATCACAATTAGGGGTTATTAGTTTCTAATGCCTGAATTATTTTTTCTCACCAGTAGCTCCCTGTTGTTCAACTCAGGTTTAACCAAAATGATATAGCATTTAGGGACAAAAATGCAGCCCAGTAACCCAGCGCCAGAGGCCAAGATGGAGAAGATCTCCACAGCCACCATGTATTTCCCTTTTGTGCTAAGGTAAGTTGGGACAAAGGTCACCCAAACACTGCAAAAGACCAACATGCTGAAGGTGATAAACTTGGCTTCATTAAAACTGTCAGGTAACTTCCTGGCTAAGAAAGCTATTGTGAAACTGACAGTGGCCAAGAAACCCATGTAGCCTAGGACAGAGTAAAACAAGATGGCAGATCCTTCATTACATTCTAAAACAATCTCTTCAGCCATTGTGTGCGTATCTACATCTAGGAATGGAGGAGAGGTTGTTAGCCACACAGTGCAAAGAGTGGCTTGAATGAGGGAGCAGGAAAGAACAACAGAAGCAGCCAGTCTTTTCCCTATCCATTTCCTCATAGTGGACCCTGGCTTGGTGGCCATGAAAGCTAGAACCACAATAATGGTTTTGGCCAAAAGACATGAAATTGCAACGGAGAAGACTATGCCAAAAGTGGTTTGTCGAAGCAGACATATCACTTTCTCAGGTCGGCCAATGAATAGCAGAGCACAGAGGAAGGAGAACAGGAGGGAGATGAGGAGAGTGTAGGTGAGGCTCCGGTTGTTGGCTTTGACTATGGGAGTGTCTTTGTGCTGAATGAAGATTGCCAGCACCAAAGCTGTGATGGAAGAAAGGGAAAGAGTAAAAGCAGCTAAAGTGATCCCCAAAGGTTCTTCAAAGGACAAGAAGCTGATATTCTTTGGAATGCATAAATCCTGGCCTTTGTTTGGATATTGACCATCCGAACACATCAAACAGTACTCCATGTCTAAGGAAAGAAACATTTTTTTCATTGCAGTGAAGTTTGCCTTCAATGCACTACAGAAACATCTCTTTAAAACTCTGAATGAGAACTGCTAGCTCAAAATCAGTTCAGATAATTTTCAAGCAATGTTACTTTTTCTTTTTGAAAATATCTACACAAAGCAATGATTTAAGAAGAATCCAGAATTTAGGGGTATGAAGACAGGAAAAGTTAACCTGAAGCTCGGTAGATGTCTGGAGTTTGGTTAATTTTTTTTAAAAAAAAATCTAGTTTTTCGCCAAACTTTTATTAAACATTACAAAAAGAATTAGCATAACCTCCATTTTGATATTTGGATTTTTTGCAATTATTTTCATTTGATTTCATTTTTTCCTGGTGAAATTGGGTGCTGTGCATGAGAGCACACTTGCCATATTCACTTGCCATATTATACCCTCTCCACTCATGTGAACTATTCCTTTTAAATATGAAGGAAATGGGGGTCTGTAAACACGAATGTAAAACTATGTCCTAGAGGGAAAAATAATATGGGCATGACTATTCTTACCTGTCTGGTTTGAAATCTTCCCTTCTGGACATAGAAAGCAATCATAGCAGCAAAATGGCTTCCCTTCCTTCTTTCTCTTGCTATAACCTGGTTGACAGACATCATTACACCATGAAATGGGTTGTACCTGTATAGAAGTGAAATTGGTTAATGTCTCAGCATTTAGGCCATATATGTGTCTGGTACTGGCATGGCAAACTGGTAATACTTTAGAGAGGCCTCCTGACAAAGTTTCATTAAATCGTGTCCACATATCAAGATGGTGCTTTATAGGGTTTCCATATGCCCTCTTTCCCCAGGACATGTCCTCTTTTTCATGATAAGAGTCATCATAGTGATCCATAGTTACAAGTAGAAGTCGGCAAATGTGTCCTCTTTTTTGCTCTTCAAAACATGACAACCCTAGAATGCCTATACAGTGGTACCTCAGGTTACAGACACTTTAGGTTACTGACTCCGCTAACCCAAAAATAGTACCTCGGCTTAAGAACGTAGCTTCAGGATGAGAACAGAAATTGTGTGGTGGTGGCGCAGTGGCTGCAGGAGGCACCATTAGCTAAAGTGGTACCTCAGGTTAAGAACAGTTTCAGGTTAAGAACGGACCTCCAGAACGAATTAAGTTCTTAACCCGAGGTACCACTGTAATCACAGTCTGTAGTACAAGTGGCAATCATTTTAGCATGTCCAATTGATGTGTGATTGATGATGCACAGATCCTTTTGGACCCAGAAGAAGGCAGGACTGGGGCAGAACTGGGGACGTAATGGGGCAGGGCGCACTTATATGCGCTCCACTGATGCGCATGGGGGCCTAATGAAACGGTCTCAGCCTGTATATGAAAATAGTTCTCAAGGAAATATTTCCATTCCCTCTGTGATTTGGCCAGTGTCTTTCCACCAGAACACTTGACCTCACTTGACTAATTTCTGACAGCTTGACAAAATCCCTCATGTTTGCTTCATTATATGTTGCTTATTCTTTACCATGTTGTTGGTTTCCCCATTTCTACACATGCTTTCTTGGAAGTAAAGTGTGCAATATTCAATAGGGCATCCTCCTACTCACCTCTGCATAAAATTACAGAACATGTGTGTCACCCTGGGCCTACAGACTTCACATGACCCTTGGAGGTCTTCAGTGTGACATATACATGGGCACACACCAAGGCTGTCTCCTACTTCATTCCTCCCAGCATGTTGTCAAACTTTGCTCCCTCCCCCAAAGGGGGTGGGCTGAGGAAACACATAGTGAGATTCATTGCAAATATCTTGCACCTCACAGAAACAGTTACAGATAGGTAGCCGTGTTGGTCTGCCATAGTCAAAACAAAAAAAATTCCTTCCAGTAGCACCTTAAAGACCAACTAAGTTAGTTCTTGGTATGAGCTTTCATGTGCATGCACACGAAAGCTCATACCAAGAACTAACTTAGTTGGTCTTTAAGGTGCTACTGGAAGGAATTTTTTTGTTCTCACAGAAACAGTGTTCCTCGCGGTTTGTGATGGGGAGGATGGCAAATGGAAAGAAAGAAGTTCCAAAAATAGCAGAGCCCACCAGTCAGAAACTCAGAACATGCCTTTTAGTGTGGCTTCCCATGTTCTGTAGAACAGCCTTTCTGTCAAGACATGACTAGCATCCACTACCTGCATTTTCTGGAAACAATTGAAGATATTTATGTTCCAACAAGTTTTCCAAGCTGGATGAATAGTTCTGCCACGGGAGTCCACTTTGTACTGTTTTTAAATGTAGCTGTTATTTCTGTTATTTCTGTGTGCTGTTTTAAACTCTAAAAAAAAACCCAGTTTCCTTGTACATCACCTTGAATGTGTGTGGAGGAGGATTATATAATTGTAATAGAATATGAAGGAGGAGGAAGCAGCGAACTAGTAGTTAGCCTAGTGCTCACCTCCATGTTCTTGTCCTCTTCAAAAGTGTGCATGAATATGCACAAACAAATGACTGTGTGTGAACGAGCATGGACCCCCCCCCCAATGTTTAGAACTGCCCACCAGCATGTGGTCCCAGACAATGAATCATCTGTACCTGGTTAAAAGCACTGGGCCATCTGATGCTATTCACAGAAACGTTCAATTCTTTCTCTTTGGAAGAAATGGGGTCTATCTCTGCAACCTTGACTCTCAGGAAGGACAGGTTTGGAAATGTGACCCAGCTGATAATATCAAATCCAGTGGCCAAGTATCCATTTTGGTCAAAGGAAACTTCATCCCCGGCACTGTTGTTAAATGAGACTTCTTTCAGATAGTGCTGAAGCTGAATCAAAAGAATAAAGAGAATACCATTCCCCCCCACAAAAGTCTCTTTAAAAGTCATGGTGTTGCTACTCCTGCAGCCAACACAGACACTACTTAGCCAAGAACCATTTTGCCCAGAGTTGTGGGGTGTTCTGCCTTTCAAAAATATATATTTTAACTTCCCTCTGCCATTTTGTTGTACAATTTTTAATTTGTCCTAATTTGTGTTGTCATCATCACAGCCAATGGGTGATCTCTCTCTTGCCTTTGCACCATGGCTTTCTGATGGGGGAGCATTCCACTAGGCTTCACTGCCACAGGCAAGTATGTAGGAAACAGGGAGGTGCCTTCAGAGAGCCTTATTGGAGGGCTGCCCCTGCCAACACCACACATAATTTTACACACACATACCATGTCCCCACTTTGCTTGCCTCACCTGACCAGCACCAGATCCTGTAACCAGTGCTATTTTTCTAGAAAAAGAGGTGACAGAACTCACCATGAACACCTCCATCATTCTCTTAGAATGGGAATGACGCCCACCTGAGAGGTACCAGAACTGAGTTCCTGTGAGTTCCCCCCTGAAGAAACACCCTGCTTGTAATCTTTACTCATAGGGATGTTGCTCCAGTCCCTTGACCATTTTGGCAGTCCTTTTCTAAGCCTTCTCCAGTTGAGCAATATGCTTTTTGAGGTGGGATGACTGTAACTGTGCACGACATTGCGAATGTTTATTTTCCATCTAGATGCCTAAAATAGAATTCACCTTTTCTTCACAACTACAATCTGTTGGTTTCTCTCCATTTATCTATGAATTCATAATGTAAGGAGGGAATTTAAAAGAAATGAAGGTCATACACAAAAAAAATCTTATACACTCCCCCCCATATTTTCTCTCTCTCTCTCTCAACACAAACACACACACAGTGTCTGCATGGCTTAAGGACTGTTGTTCCTCACACAGATATTGTGAGCCAGTGCTAGCTTTGAAAGGGCTCCGAGCAGCATACCCTAGGGTATCTGCAGCAGCATCCTGGTTGGTGTCCCACAAGGTTAGCAGATTTGCTGTGCATGTTAAATGGGAAGTAGAACAGCACTGTTAAGACACCGATGAAGTAGTCAACACCATCTTAATTTTCCAAGAAAACGTTGGGGTCCATAAGCACTCAGTGGAACTTAAATTTATTACTGCAGCTGCTTTGACCAGTGCTTTTTATATCATGTTCTACAATGTACAAAATGAAGCAAAGCAAGAGAATGAACACTCCTATATTTTTTGCTGCAGACATTACCTGCCATGGTTGTTGATTCGGAAGCTTCCATCTCCTTCTTTCCACTGTCACTCTGTTTTTTAATTTGGAGGACCGCATGGACTGCAAAGCATGTGCCACAGCATAGACTGCATTGTACATGCTGTAACTGTGGCCAGTCATGCTCATGTCAAAAACAGATCCAGGAAGTGCTTCCAGTTTCTCATCCCCGGTGCAGACCTCCCCACTAGCATGATCTCCATCAGAGGTGGGGAACTCACAGTTGAATGCCTTCTGCCAAAAGATCTTGAGAAAACCATCTCCTTTTTCCAAATTGGGATTTTTCAACTGAAGGAATGTCTGGAATCCTGACACCTCCTTTGAGTGAATTGCCAAGGACATAGCACCGTGGATTATGTCTATGTCGAAATCTCTTTGATAGGAAAGTGAAACGAACTCCATGCGACCTATCATAATCCAGATTTTACCTGCTGTCTTCATTGGTGTGTCCACAATGCCTGAAATAACAGGAAACATTCTCAGAAATATCATGGTTTGAATTTCACCATGTACAAGCACAACAGTGGCAGTGCTCCTCAAAATAACCATGTATGTTTCCATCGTATTCTCCAGAATTTCTCCAAAGTCAGTTGCAAAATGTGCCAGTTTGTGATAAAATTCAATAAATGCAAAGCAGATGCCGCTCTGGGAAAACTTGGGAAGAATGGCCTGGACAACCCTTTCTCCACTGTCAGCATGTAAAGTAACTATCCCAATCCAGGTCCATTTGAAAAACAGCAGCAACTGGAGAATCCCGAAATACTGGTGGTACCAATCAGGGAACAATTGCAGGAAGAACGCTCCTTGTTTTTGATCATTCGTCACTGAAGCAGAGCCATATCCAAGCTACATGGGAAATAACCAGAGAAAATAGCAACAATCTATTTCCAAAGTTCATTCATTTTTTTGTTTTTTGTTTAATGCTTTTATTTGATTTTTCATTTGTTAATCATTTACATATTCCAATCCTTATCTTTATTTTTACATATACTGTATACATAGTTAAACCAAACAATATCCATAATTCTTCACCAGTGACTTCCCACCACCTCATAACAGCTTCTTCTCTCTTATTTTTCTATTCAATTGTGTTGTTTATCTTTATTATCTTTTTATTACATAATATAAAACTTATCTATGTGAATTTTGACTTTGTGAAATTTATTCGAAACATATCAAGGGTATGATTTGCGAACAATGTTTTTCCAAATATTCTTTTGCACTTTCCCCACTATTTTTTAAAGTTTTTGGTTTGGTTGTTGTCTAATTGCTGCTGTCATTCTTTGCCCATTCCATATACTCACACAGCTTGTTTTGCCATGCTTCCTTTGTTGGTATCTTATCCCCTTTCCAGTTCCTAGCAATCAACATTCTAGCGGCAGTTGTGGCATACCAGAACACCTTTTCCTTATCACTGCGGATACTGATTGTCAGAATGCCCAACAGAAAGGCTTCAGGGTTCTCCCCTGAATGTTTGTCTTAACATTTTTTAAAATTCATCATAGACAGTGTTCTAAAATTTTATTTGTATTCTGCTTTTCCACACACTCAAATCATGCTCAAAGTGGCATGCAAGAAGGAAACGGAAGCATTTCAAACAAACACTACAGAAACTACCGTATTTTTTGCTCTATAAGACTCACTTTTTCCCTCCTAAAAAGTAAGGGGAAATGTGCGCGTCTTATAGAGCGAATGCAGGCTGCGCAGCTATCCCAGAAGTCAGAACAGCAAGAGGAATTTCTGCTTTCACTGCACAGTGATCCCTCTTGCTGTTCTGGCTTCTGAGATTCAGAATAATTTTTTTCTTGTTTTCCTCCTCCAAAAACTAGGTGCGTCTTGTGGTCTGGTGCATCTTATAGAGCAAAAAATACGGTATTTCATAATCCAACATAACATAGCAAAACAGAAATATGGTAACAAACAACTCCTCCCCCCTTACATTTCAACGCATTAAAGACAACAAGATTTCTTAAACACCAGGCAGTATCCAGAACAAGGGAGCTTCACAAATTCACCTTTGTCCTAGAAGCACCCCTCCCATGATGTTGCTCATAGTACTTCTTCTGAAGCTGCTTCTTATAAGTGGCAGGTCAGAACTGCCTCTAGTTTGCTACTTTCTGTCTCCAAAGCCTGGCTAAAAGGCAAGGGAAGCACAGCTGGTTTGTTAAAGTCTTATGTTCCATGTGCAAAATGTACCTGTGGAATCTTGTAGATGCACAGAATGTCTGCCATGAAGAAACACACGTCTGAGTTAGGACCCCCAATGACAGCTACTGCATTACCCTGGAGATCACAACTGTAGTTTGGGATGAATCTGCTCCATGTAGAGAGAAGTTCCATAGAGGCTAGATACATCCTACTTGCCAAGAATTGACTGTTAATAATGTGGAAACCCAGGGTGAGGTTGGATAAGATCTGGCCACTTTCGTTGATCTCCGTTACAGCAAATGTGAGGGCCACGATGTGCTGGTATATCTGTGTCATAAATCTGCAAGGTATTTAAATAAACTCTCAGAATATTTTTGCTGCAGAATATGCCAACAGCAATAGATGTTTCACTCATATAGTGACCTAAAATATATTTTATTGCCCTCAGTTCCAGGAAGCTTGATAGAACATTGGCACTTTGACCAGGACATTTGTCATATGAATGTCACTTATTTGTAAAGTATGCATGGACACTTCTTTGCAACGTTAAAAACCCAACTTTAAATGTTTAGCATATTATTGAATCTGGCTTCAGAGGCCTTTCTTTGTGTGCCTCCCTAAGACATTTGGAGGACGGCAACACGAGAAGAGGCCTTTAACATTCCCCCCGCCATCACTCCTCATATAGCAATTGGGGCTTTAAACAACCAGCTCCTCATGGTGCCAATGGAAGCTTTTTATGTCTATTTGCAGCATCTGCAACAAAACATGTCTCTCCCGTATCTTTCTGTACAGCCACAACAGGCACTGTAACCTTCCAAGCATTTGGCCACACCCGCAAAGGCACACTCCTCCATATTCTCCTGAGACAGATAGCATGGGGTTGCGGTTGAGGAGAGAAGGGTTAACCTTCTGTTTCCCACATGTTGTGATTTCCCTCCCCCAACAATTGTTTCCAGTGGAGAGATGAGGTTATTTGAGAGGTGAGAATGAGAGAAAAATGGGGAGAGGTGGGAAATCGGAGTGGTGGTGTGGGGCAGTTCCACCTACTTTTGTCAGCAGACACCATGTGTGGTGCCCAATAGATTTCTCCCAAAAGATTATGGCTGCATCTATCCAATTGGAAAGGCTCACTTAGACTCCTTCCTCCTTGTCCTCCTTTCAACCTGCAGGGATTTTATTTTATGTTTGGGTGAGGGTGAACATTCTACTATCACTAAAGCAGCCTCCCTTTCTCCTCACAGATAATTAAATGTTCAGTCCGTGAGCACTTAGAAAAGGATGCTGTGATTACTAAGACCCAGCATAGGTTTCTCAAAAACAAGTCATGCTGGACAAATCTCATTTCTTTATATGATAGAGTTACAAACTTAGTGGATCAGGGGAATGCTGTGGACATCTTGATTTCAGCAAAGCTTTCAACAAAGTCTCCCATGGGATGAAGTCACTGTTAGATGCATTTGTAGCTAGTTGACTGACGCAACCAGCTGCACAAATATAAGATAGGGACACCTGGCTTGTCTGTAGGACATGTGAAAAGGATCTATGTGTCTAGTACAACACAAGCTTAACTTGAGTCAACAGTGTGATGCAGCAGCACAAGAAAAAAAAGGGGGGGAGCTAATGTGATTCTAGGCTACATCTACATCTAGTGCCCCAATCAAGGGAAGTCATAGTACTGTTCTATTCTGTCATGGTTAGACCACACCTGGTGAACACAATTTAAGAAGGATATTGACAAACTGGAATGTGTGCAGAAGAGGACAACCAAGATGATCAAGGGTCTGAAAACCAAGCCTTATGAGGAAGGAAAGGTTGAGGGAGTTGAATATGTTTAGTCTGGAAAAAGAGAAGACCGAGAAGAATGATAGTCTTTTTCAAATATCTAAAGAACTGTCACATGGAAGATGGAGTAAGCTTGTTTTCTCCTGCTCTGGATGGTAGGATCCAAACCAATGGCTTCAAGTTACAAAAAGAAAGAAAGAAAGAAAGAAAGAAAGAAAGAAAGAAAGAAAGAAAGAAAGAAAGAAAAGAAATTCTGACTAAACATCAGGAAGAACTCCCTGATGGTAAGAGCTGTTTGACAGTGGAACAGACTCTGACAGAAGGTGGTAGCTTTTCCTTCCTTGGAAATTTTTAAGCAGAGGTTAGGTGGCCATCATTTGTGCATCATTTCATTGAGATTCCTGCATTGCAGGGGGTTAGACTAGATGATTGTTGGGGTCCCTTCCAATGCTACAATTATATAATTCTATGAACTCAGAGAGAATGTTCAAGGAAAAGGCCCCCTGAATGTGACCCAAGAACATCTTAAACACTAACCATTTGTTATGGCACATAAGCTGGGGTGGTCAACATGGTGTCCTCCATGTGTTAGACTACACTCTCTTCCTTCCTGACCACTGGCTATGCTTGCTGGGGCTGATGACAGTTAATGCCCCACAGGGACATGGGTGGTGCTGTGGTCTAAACCACTGAGCCTCTTGGGCTTGCTGATCGGAAGGTCAGTGGTTTGGATCCCCGCAACGGAGTGAGCTCCTGTTGCTCTGTCCCAGCTCCTGCCACCCTAGCAGTTCGAAAGCACACCAGTGCAACAAGATAAATAGGTACTGCTGTGGCAGGAAGGTAAACGGTATTTCCGTGCGCTCTGGTTTCCTTCATGGTGTTCCATTGCACCAGAAGTCATGCTGGCCACATGACCCGGAAAGCTGTCAGTGGACAAACATCGGCTCCCTCGGCGTGAAAGTGAGATGAGCGCTGCAACCCCATAGTCGCCTTTGACTGGACTTAACTGTCCAGGGGTCCTTTACCTTTACCTTAATGCCCCACAATACCTGGAGGTCATCATGTTGTCTACCTCTGGCATAAACATTTGTGGACTAGAGTCCACTTCAGAAAATGCAAAGTTTTTACCATAATCAATCAGTCATTAAGCTGCCACAAGACTCCTTATAGTTGCTGCTACCCCTCTGGAAAATGATATAATTAAAAATCCAGTTCCTTACATGGGGTCATCAATAAGTTCATGAAGCGGGTGCCTGTTGAAGTCCACAGAGCTGGACAATCTGTAGCTCTGGGAAATAATGGCAGCAATGTTGAGGTCTCCTGAATGATAATACTTCTGATTTTCTGGAAGAGCACCACTTATATTACATTGAGCAATGGGAACAGCACACACATCTTGAAGCAGTAGTAATAATACCAGGAGCATGAATAATATCACCATGCACGAACATATTTCTTCTTGGAACCATTTCACCTGTTTCCTCATTGTCATTCAAATGCCCCCGAGTAGCAGAGCCTGAATTGAAAGGCCACTCAACGGACTTACTCAAACCCAGTATTATGTAAAGTATTGGAGGGCTGTTTAACCCTGCCTGTCTTTAAATCCTGAACTGAATTTCACAGGTGACCTTAACAGAATCTGTTTTTCTCAATTCATGGTTTTCTTAGTGGTTACTGAAGCTCCCTTGGGATCTGGAGAAGTAGTAATCATAGACAATTTGGATACTTACAGGGGAGATAGTCACTTATTCAGCATTAGAGGTTCTCCGCAACATTGCAAAAGAAAACAGGTTGATCGCACTTCCATCAATCCTTTTCTCTGATCCCCTGCAGTGTGAAAGCAAATTATGTGTAATACTAAGGTATTTAGTGGGAGGGGTCTACCTCAGTAGGAGAGTACATGCTTAACACAAACAATGTCGCCAGCCAGAAATGCCAAAGCCAAGGAATCAAACTACTTGTTTTACTCCCAAATGAGAATCAAGGCTACACCTAGAGAAGTTGTTTACTTCAATTGCAACAAAGAAGGACATGTAGCCACACTTTGCAAAGCCTCAAAATTGGGGAATTACCCTGCATTTAGGCAACCAAACCAAAATGAAGGATACAAAGAAAAGTATTTTCTTTTGCAAGAAAAGAAGCTATCTGTTAACAATTATGACACAAAGCCATACCAATGGTTAATTGATTCTGGAGTGTCTTCTCACATGAAAATTCAGTTGCAGAAAGTAAGTTTAAGTCCATTGCGGAAATGACAAGATGCATGTTAAAAGATGCAGCTCTCAGGAGCCACTGCATTGTGCCTCCAAAACAGACTGCCAGTGACAGATCTTCATTGGCTCCCAATGCATTTCCAAACACAATGCAAAGTGTTGGTGTTGACCTTTAAAACCCTGTATACCTAAAGGAGCGTCTCCACCCCTATCATTCAGCTCAGACACTGAGGTCCAGTTCGGAGAGAATTCTCGGTAGTGGCACCCGCCCTCTGGAATGCCTTCCCATCAGACGTCAAAGAGATAAACGATTATACAATTTTCTGTAGACATGTGAAGACACCCTGTTTCAGGATGTTTTTAATGTTTGATGTTGCACTGTTTTTTAAAATATTCTACTGGAAGCTGCCCAGTGTGGTCAGTGCAACCCAGTCAAGATGGGCTGGTTACAATTAATAAATGATGATTATTATAAACAATATATCCTCTCCTAGAATCTAAACTCCTTTCTGCATGAAGGGGAGTCCACAATCTCCTGAGGGAGTCTGTTCCACAATCAGCCAATTTTAACTGTCAGAAAGTTCTTTCGGGTGTTTTGTTGGAATCCTCTTTCTTGTAACTTGAAGTCATTGGTTCAGGCCCTAACTTCAAGAGTTCCATCTTCCATGTGACACCCCTTTAGACATCACATCTCCTCCAGAGGTGTTAAATTGAATAAAAAATAGGAGGGAGAATAAGCCCTGCTCTGCACAGTCAATCCCATGATGGGGTGCATGGACACCATTTGAATGGCAATGCTCATCGATTTTTGGGGGCCCAGCCCCCTCAAATATTTAATTGGGAGGCCAAAGACCCCTTGGCCCTAGGAGTTGGCTACTATGATCTCCTCTCAGTCTCCTCTTTTTCCAGGCTAAATATATTCAACTCCCTCAACCGCTCCTCATATGGCTTGGTTTCCAAACCCATTATCCTCTTGGTCGCCCTCTTCTGCACACATTGCAGCTTCTCAATATTCTTCTTAAACTGGGGTGCCCAGAAGTGGACACAATATAACAGGTGTGGTCTGACCAAGGCTGAATAGAGTAGTACTATGACTTCCCTCGATCAGGACACTAGACTTTGTGCATCTGGTTCTCCTTGGCTAAGTGCAGAACCTTACATTTCTCCCTACAGAAATTCATGTTGTTAGCTAGCTTGCACCCAGTTCTCCCATCTGTTAAGATCATTTTGAATCCTGATTCTGTCTTCTGCAGCATTAGCTACAACTCCCAGTTTGGTGTCACCTGCAGATTTGATGAGCATCCTCTCAATTCCTTTGTCCAAGTTGCTTATAGAGACATTGAACAACTGGCCCAGGAGAGAAAGAACACTCTGCACCTTGGCACTTTATACAGTTTCAATGCAAATCTTATGTATGCCTCTATGTATGAATAAAAGAAGGTTGCTTTATTCATGTAGCTGAATAAACGAAGCTTCTTAATGGTCTTTTTATTACATTTGTTTACAAATTTATAAGCCACATTTAATAAGAAACACAAATGCAGAATACGATTAACAATTAAAAAAAAATCATAAAACATTATAAAAAATGAGCAACCTGGCTGCCAAATTCCGCACCAGCTGAAATTCCCAAAGGATCTTCAGAAACAACTCCACGTATAACGTGTTGCAGTAATCTAACCAAAGCATAGACAACAGAAGTTAGGTTTCCCCTGTTCAGATAGTGGCAGCGCTGGGCCACCAGCTGAAGCTGATAAAAGGCACTCCATGCCACGGAGGCCACCTTTGCCTCAAGCAAGAACAAAGGATAAAGAAGTATCCCCCACCTATTTACCTACTCCTTCAGAGGGTGCGTAACCTCATCAAGAGCAGGCAATCTCCCCTCCATACAGTCGAGGGCACTGCCCACCAAAGGTCCCTCAGTCTCATCTGGAATGAGCTTGAGTTTGTTGGCACTCATTCACTCCAACTTCAACAAGATTGGGACTTTCCAATTTGTGATTTGTTCTTTCCTCTCATTAGCTGCCCCCTGTTGTTCAACTCAGGCTTAATCAAAATGATATAGCATTTAGGGGCAAAGATGCAGCCCAGTAACCCAGCGCCAGAGGCCAAGATGGAGAAGATCTCCACAGCCACCATGTATTTCCCTTTTGTGCTCAGGTAGGTTGGGACAAATGCCAGCCACACACTGCAAAACACCACCATGCTGAAGGTGATGAACTTGGCTTCGTTGAAACTGTCAGGCAACTTTCTGGCTAAGAAGGCCACAGTGAAGCTGATACTGGCCAGGAAGCCCATATAGCCCAGGACAGAGTAAAACATGATGGCCGATCCTTCATTACATTCCAGAACAATCTCTTCAGCCATTGTATGTGCATCTAAATCAGGGAAAGGGGGAGAGATTGCCAGCCATAGAGTACAAAGAATAGCTTGAACTAGGGAGCAGGAAACCACAACAGAAATATCCAGTCTTTTCCTCATCCATCTCCTCATACTGGACCCTGGCTTGGTGGCCATGAAAGCTAAAATGACTGTTGTCGTTTTGGCCAAAATACAAGAAACTGCCACTGAGAATATCATGATAAAAGCAGCTTGTTGAAAGAGACACATAACTTTATGCGGCTGGCCAATAAACAAGAAAGCAGAAACAAAGGAGAGCAAGAGGGAGATGAGGAGGGTGTAGGTGATGTTCCGGTTGTTGGCTTTGACTATGGGAGTGTCCTTGTGCTTAATGAATATCCCATGTACCAAAGCTGTGATAAAACAAAAGGAAAGAGAGAAATTAGCTAAGATTACCCCCAACGGCTCTTTGTATGACAAGAAGCTGATCTTCTTTGGAACACACAAATCTTGTTCTTTGTTTGCATAATGATCTTCTGGACATTGAGTGCAGTATTCTGCATCTAAAAAAGGAAACAGATTTTGTTTTATACATGGATGTACTTCTGCATACAGTACATTACTGAATTCAATAAAACTGAGTGAATTTTTCTGTGCTATTTCTGGGTAGGGAAAAGGAGCAGAGTAGATTTTGTTATATATTCTTTAGTGAGATAAAATTATCCAACAGTTTTTCTTTCCCTGAATGGAAAAAAATAATTCAGAAACTTTAGCTCACTGAATACTAAATAAAATTCCATTTTTAGTTTTTATTGTTCGATGAAGAATTGGAAGTAGTGGAGGCCTCGTCCATTTCTTCTTTCATGAATAAAATGATTTAAAAGAACATTATTCTTAAAACTGGATCCAAAAGTGAAGTAAAAACTCAGTGACCTCTCAAAGATTTGTTAGAAAATTCTTTTAGCTCAGGCATATTTACAAAACCCTGTATGGTGACACCTAGCTCAAAACCAGTGTACACAATCTCAGTTACTTTTGCATGACTATGCGTATAGCAGATCCCCTCACTGATGGTATTTTCATTCCCTGAACATCACAAAGCAAGAGTTATTGTGAACTACGTATTCTTCTTGTCCTGGTATGCTCAAATCCTGTTTACTTTTAAATTTTCTTTTCTTTTCCTTTCTTCTGAGAAGCTGAACAACAAAGGAATGCTGTGGGTATCACTACCCACACTAAATTTAGAACATTTAACTATGAAGTAAATTCTTGTCTATAAACAGTGTTGAACAAGTGATTGATAGCAGTTTATAACCTGAGGAAAATGCTATGAATAAAATGTATTTACCTCTTAAGTTAGAAATCCTCCCTTCTGGACATGGAAGACAATCATAGCAGCAGAAAGGTTTTTCTTCCTTCTTGCTCTTGCTGTAACCTGGATGGCAAACGTCATTGCACACAGAAAGCGGCTGTACCTTTGCATAAATGAAATTAGTGGGTGTTTAAACACTGAGATCCAGCTCCACGGGCCTTCTGGCGGTTCCTTCACTGTGAGAAGCGAAGTTACAGGAAACCAGGCAGAGGGCTTTCTCAGTAGTGGCACCCACCCTGTGGAACGCCCTCCCACCAGATGTCAAAGAAATAAACAACTATAGTGGTACCTCTGGTTAAGAACTTAATTCATTCTGGAGGTCCGTTCTTAACCTGAAACTGTTCTTAACCTGAGGTACCACTTTAGATAATGGGGCCTTCCGCTGCCGCCACACCACCGTTATGCGATTTCTGTTCTCATCCTGAAGCAAAGTTCTTAACCTGAGGTGCTATTTCTGGGTTAGCGGAGTCTGTAACCTGAAGCGTCTATAACCTGAAAGCGTCTGTAACCTGAGGTACCACTGTTAGAAGACATCTCAAGGCAGTCCTCTTTAGGCAAGCTTTTAATATTTGATGAATTATTGTATTTCAATAATTTGCTGAAATCCTCCCAGAATGGCTGGGGAAACCCAGCCAGATGGGTGGGGTAGAAATAAATTATTATTATTATTATTATTATTATTATTATTATTATTATTATTATACATTCAGATTTTGGGAGGGAGAAGGGAGTTGTATGACAATCCCCAGCAATAAAGATAAGAGCAAGGTAATTTGACCAGATTTTTGGGTGGTCTTAAAGGTTAGATTCCCTCTATCAGCAACACCTGAGAGGTCTCTTATGATCTGTATTTGGTGATTATTCTTTGTAAAGTATTGCACTTATGTGAAAGGAGAACCTTCGGCCACATCCCCTGCTCAGTGGGTCAAAATAAGAATGAGGCACTTTTGGGATCAAAATTAGAATTTTATTTATGTACACTTGATGAGGGCTGTAGCTTAATGTCTACTCTGATAAGGCACAATACTTTGTATGAAACAAGCACACCGTACAGAGATAGCTGGAGGGTTCTTACAATTACAATACCTGTTTAAATGCAGTTGGCCATACAATGTCTTCCACAGAAATGCTCAGGATTTTGTCTTCAGGAGCTA